GAAGACACTCTGCAGTGAGCTCCTAGAATCTTGTCTTCTGTAGGTAAATGAGCGTTCCCGGGCATATTATCACCTATAGCTCACCTAACTGGAACTCCCTGCCTACATGTGGCTGAGTCATTTCCTCTCTTCGGTCTCTCCCTTGGAACTGCCTATTTGTTCTGTCCTTTCTTCAGTCTGTTCATCCCTCCTTAACTCCCATTGATTCTTGGTTTCAGTGTACTACTGATGATCTTTACGAATGCCTGTTTATATCTTTAATCAGTTTAGAATTTCAGGGTGCTTTTTTTCTTTTCCATTAGCTAATCTTAGAAACGTGTGTGTTTATTCTATCTGATCAAAAAGGTACTTGTTATATATACATATATATATTATGTCAGCAAAAGTATGTTAAGGAAGTCCAGACTTTTAAATAAGTTCAGAGTAGTTAACACCCAGATGCCTTCTTCCCAATTATTATAAAGCCTGATGTACAAAGAGTTTTAACTCTGCCTTTGAGAACTATATGATGCCCTGTAATTACTTACCTGAATATCCAGCTGACTGTGTACCTGACATCCTTCTAACAAAGAGCTCAAACTTGTTCACAAACAATTAAGTCATCTTTTTGCATCATCTCAAAAAGTTGTAATTTGTATTCTTACCTCCATGGGGAGGAGAGAGGCTGAGATAAGAGTTCTGGGTCATTCCACAGTCCCTTAGTAGAATAGGAAGTGGTTCCAATTCTTACATCAATGAGTGTGTATGTGTATTTGGAAACAAGAAATAATAAAGTCTCTCCTTCTCTTCCTCCTACCATTCTATCAATGGACTCAATATTGCTTTTTTATTTATTTTGTCTTTTTTTAAAATTTATTTTTAATTGTTGACATACACTATATTAGTTTCAGGTGTACAACATAATGATTAGATATTTATACATCACATCATTTGTACTTTTGACATCTGTTTTAGGTAGTTTTGAGGTGATTCAGTCACTTGTGGAAATTATGTAGTGTTTACATTTATAAATATAGGAAAAAAATGAATATTAGAGCACAGAGGAAGATTTTTGAGATATGGCAAGTGTTCAAAAACCAAAGAAGCAAACTGTATAACGCAGATGGAACCGAAAAGGAGGAGTCAGCTTTGACTGGCACTATGGTTTGACCTGCCAAATAAGATCAGATATCTACTTCTCATTACAGTAGTTTCCTGTGGCTAAGAAAATTATAGAAATACATTGCAGGGCACTTGAACTCTTCAAATAATATATTGTGTGGTAAAGAAAAGGAAAAGGGCCTTCACAAATTATAGACAAATAGGCACCAAAACCTTTAGGAAACTCAGCATGTTATATAAAATTCTAGTCCAAGTTCATTCCTGAATTGTCTCCTGGGTACTATGAGTCAGAAAGCTGTAGGCTGTGATAATATTGTATAACAGCTAACTCACAGAGATGTCAAAATTGAAGGAAATAAAGAATTGCCTGGAGCTGAGTCCCTCCTGGACATAGGCTAAAAGTGAACAACTAGGTCTACAAACATGAGAATCAAATGACTGGAAAATGTGACAATGGGAAATGGTCAAAACTTTCCTAGGTAATAATTTAACAATCTTAGAAATTAGGTTGGTCCCGTTGGAGCATCAAGGGCGAATGTTCAAAATAATGACACCAGACATGTTCACCTTGCCTTGGAAATGTTACAGTTTTCTCTTTGGAGAATGTTTTAAATTTGGCAAAAATTTCACAAAAACTTATCCTATCTAATAATCCTATATAATAAAAGGGTAATATGCAAATCGAACAGCGGAACAACCAGTCGCTGTGACGCACACTGACAACCAGGGGGCAGATGCTCAATGCAAGAGCTGCCACCTGGTAGTCAGTGCACTCCCACAGGCGGAGCACAGCTCAGCCACAAGCCGGGCTGATGGCTGGCAAGCACAGTGGCCCGCCTCCACAGCAGCGCTAAGGCTATCCGACTGATGCGAGCCTAAGCTGTCAGTCGGACATCAAGCGGAATCAGGCCTAAACTGACAGTCAGACATCCCTTTTGCAATCAGGAACTGCTGGCTCTTAACCGCTCGCCTGCCTGCCTCATCGCCCCTAACCACTCACCTACCTACCTCATCACCCCTAACTACTCCCTACCTGCCTCATCACCCCTAACCACTCGCCTACCTGCCTCATTGCCCCTAACCACCCTGCCTGCCTGCCTGATCACCCCTAACTGCTTGCTTGCCTGCCTGATTGCCCCTAACCACTTGCTTGCCTGCTGATCGCCCCTAACCACTCTGCCTGCCTGCCCGATTGCCCCTAACTGCCCGCCTTCCTGCCTGATCACTCCTAGCCACCTCTGCCTCAGCCCCTGCCTGCCACGGCTTCATCCGGGAGGTTGTCCAGAAGGTTGTTCGGCTGTCCTGTCTAATTAGCATATTATGCTTTTATTATTATAGATCTCTTTAAACAACAGTAACCTTTAGTTTTGTCTTTCTGTTACAGACTAACCTAAAGTACATGACAATTACCCCACACACAAAAAGATTGAAGAATTTTTAGGAGCATTTTAAAATAACTCTTATTACCCTTTCCTCCTTGTTTTATTTTATTTTTTTAATTGATTTCAGAGAGAGGAAGATAGAGGGAGAGAGAAATAGAAACATTAATGATGAGAAAGAATCATTGATTGGCTGCCTCCTATACATCCCCTACTGGGATTGAACCTGCAACACCACCGGGCATGTGGCCTAACCAGAAATCAAATCGTGACTTCCTGGTTCTTGGGTTGATGCTCCACCACGAACCACACCATATAGCTTTAATATAGTGATCTGATATTATAAATTGTGCATAGACTTTTTAAAACTTTATATTTTGAAATTATTTAGTCTTGCAGGAACAAAAAGGTGTACATTATCAACAGTTATCAAGATTTGCTATTCTTTCATCTATCCTGTTCTTTCTGTCTGAGGATTTTTTTGACTGACACAAGTGTATTTAACAAAAGTTTGATATGAAACTGCAGGGGGCCCATTTTTACATCATAGCACAACGGGCCTTTTGGAGAGAGGAGACATGTGGAAGCAATTGATTTCTCTTTGAACACATTCTTTGTTTATACTCATTCAAAGGCTTCTAACATGATGATACTATTTCTTTGTATTACCACCATTTCAATATTCTGTTTTACCACTATTTGCCATTATCACACATTCATTTACCACAAGATTCAAAAAGGGTTAAAATCCTCACAGTATTCCTTGGACATGTTTGCCACCATTTAATTTCAATGATAATTTCTTGTCCATAAATTTTCAACTCAACTAGCTCATAGATACCTTGAAACAGAATTCACGGCCTCACGCTCCCTCGGCACGCCCCAGGAATGTCTCAAAGTAAATCCCAACCATCATATAATATACTGGTACATGCTTCCCTAAGTATCTTCAACAGATTAGGACCTTTTTAAAAAAAACATACCACAATACCACGATCAGACCTACAAAATTAATAATTCCTTTATATAGTCTAATGCCTGGTCCATATTCAGTTGCCTTTAATTATCTAAAATAATGTGTGTGTTTTTAAAAAGTTGGTGATTTCAAATCAGGATCCCCTCCCCCCCGAAATCTATATCTTTTATTTAGCTGATATGACTTTATTTTTTGATTTTCCTTCTCCTCATGCCCCACGGTTAATTTATCCTGTAGAATTTCCCACATTTGGTGACTGCAATTTTTTTGGTATTGTTTAGCACATTCCTTTCCCCTCCATATTTTCTATAAACTGGAAGTTAGGTGTAGAGGCTAGGTTTGATTCACCTTTTCAGTTTCATGGCAAGAATACTTCTCCATTGGGGATGCAGTATACTTTGTAATGTATCATACCAAGCGGCACATAATGTCTTGTCCTGATTTCAGTACTGTTTGATCACCCTAACCCTGTTCCAGCTATCATCAGCCGTAACTGCCAGCTAGCTGTGTTTTAACACATACATTGTGTTCTACCCTCAACATTTTCTCTCCACTCGGGGTCTGTCCTTCCAGAAAAGAGGTTCTGCTGGGTGTTTCCAGGTCTTCAAGGTTGGGGATTGGACTCATTGGCAAAAGGGACCCTGCCAGGCCTCCTCTGTTCCCACTGTGGCTCATAGATTCACTCCTGGGGTTCTCACTTCAAGGGTGGAGAGCTTTCTTTGGATGATGACTTGGTGATTTCCGGGCTCCTTGGCTCTTTTTACCCTTACAATTCACTTTTTCTAAATTTGGCTCTGTCAGCACAGCTGTGGTCACCCACGTCTTGTTGCTCAGGGTAGTTTGATCCTACCCATTCGTGTTCGAGAGCAGCAACCTTCACCCTCTTTTTACTCATGACACACAAACTAATTACTGAAATTCTGCAGCAATTTGCCAATCTGACAAAAATAAAATAAAGTGGATATAATTTTGATTCGTTCACACCGGCGGCTATTATCATATTTCTATTTGACTGTAAGGGATAAGAGGTCACTGTCCCTGACTAAATAGTCTGCTATCGCATGTTTTAAACGTTCTTATAGCACACCTGCCTGAAAAACTCTGTTCTAAAGTTCCAGGGGGTGTTTTTCACCTAGTTTTTTTGGTGAAGGTGTTGCCTGTAGAATTTTTTTTTTCTGTCCTAGCTATTCCCACCATTTTCTGTGTGGGAATTCTGGGAGATCTCAAAACTACGCTGCTGCCTCTCTACACTCTCAGCATTTCAGAGTTTAAATCGCCTGCTGTTTAATCTTTTACTATAGCCCTGCAGCTGAAATATTTTTAGTTGACCACTGCTAAATAATTGTGACATTATTCAAATCTTGTGTGATATAAATGAGTGTAAATTTAAGAATGAATGTCCTCTGAGCAACAGACGGGCAGGCTCTCAAATCTCCCATTGACGATTTCAGTGGAAGCTGTAACATGTTGCTACACTTTATCATGAAACTGAGAAAAGCAAAAAGGCTCCTAGCAAAGGGCAGCCAAGCAGGCCACCTGAAAGGCTCTGCATTTACCCTGACATCGGATCTGAGCGAGAATGATACTGAATTCAGATAGGTGTCTGAAACTTGCCGTGGACAGCATTCGCCAGGTATGTTTTATTTATTGGAACTAGAAAGGGAGAGTAGTTGAACTCACTGAAGAGCAAATCACACATAAGAATTTTGAAGTTTAGGTCTAATCACAAATGTTAAACCCACTGTGATAAATGTAATACGGGCTTTACTGTTCTAAATGTTCACATCTGATTGAGCCACTTCTGAGGCATTATAGGCTCCATGTTGAGATCAACTAAAATTAAATGGTCTGTTAAAATTGCACCTTTTGTCATATGCTCCGGAGTCAAGATTGAAACTGCCAAAGTATCCATATTAGCAGGAAATGCTTTTGTATAGAGGTTCAGGGCTAGGTTTACAGTAGTGAATGGGCAGTGAAATTGTGTGTCCACGTCATTACAGCCATCACTGAATCACTGGGGTCTTGAAGCAAACCTAGCAATAAAGAGCAGTGGTGAGCGCACCAAGGCCTGAGCCTGGCCAGCAGGAGCTGGGTCCTTCCTCCACACTTTCTGAGTGACCTTTGGCAAGTGACTCAGTTTCACATCTGTACTTAAGTGGAGGTAAAAACAATCTCTAACTAGTAGAGCTATTCTGAAGATTAAATGAATAGCGCCTGGCTATTTAGTAAGCACCGTGTAAGTGTTTTCTACTGTTCTTATCTCTCTTCATGAGTTGGTTTATTGGGTGATATCCCCAAACATATTACAGAATGAATAATGCCTTTCAGGTTGTAGCACTGAAGGTCTTTCACGCCACCATCAGACACTGGGAGCATTAATTACTCACTTGAATTAGAGTTAGTTGTGGCCATGTCACTAACAAAAACGATATATCCTGTTGGGTTAGTAAACTGATTCCCAAATTGAGGTTTAATACAGTAATTTTTATGTTTCATTGCTTCTTTTAGAGTGATGATCTGCAAAGAGAATTTGTTATTGCAGCCATAATTGTCTTCAGGCTCCAAAAATATTGCTATAGCTTTTAATAGTGCTTGATTTTTAACTCAGGACACATTTTAATTAGGAATATCTTAAATAATACCTTTAATACATAGTTCTGGTTTCATAGTATTATTTTCATGTATGTTTGGGGTGGGGGGGGAGAGAAATCACATGGTAACTAATTTCCCCCCCAGGTAATGTGAACTTTAGGGTAAAAGACTTTATAATGTTGAAACAAATTATTAATTGCAAATAAGTTATGAAGTGATTATTTTATTGAAACAATTTCTGTAATTTGAGTGTTGCACTTTAATTTATAGTCAAATTCTCAGAGATATATTTTATGTAAAGTGAGATTCCTCTGCACCCCAATGAAGTTTGTCCACGTCATAGGAGCCATCAGCATATCAAATTTTGATTCTAAATTACTTAGAATTCTAAATTAGTTTGATTTGAATTTAAAACCTGTAACATTGGACTTGACTCTATAAGAATCCTAATGCAATGCTACTGGATTACTCACTACTCTTCAGAAGAGGGATAATGTATAAGAAGAATTTATCTTTGTATGTCTTTCCCAGTTTTTAGGGAAAATCAGATGTCCAAAAAGAATAAACAGAATCGCCCTGACTGGTTTGGCTCAGTGGATGGAGCGTCGGCCTGTGGACTGAAGGGTCCCAGGTTCGATTCCGGTCAAGGGCATGTACCTTGGTTGCAGGCACATCCCCAGTGGGAGGTGTGCAGGAGGCAGCTGATTGATGTTTCTAACTCTCTATCCCTCTCTCTTCCTCTCTGTAAAAAATCAATAAAACATATTTAAAAAAAAGAATAAACAGAATCTAAGTTAAGAAATACAGAAGTTAAATTGATCAGAATGCAGAACCTCTGGTTTGAAGTATTTTTCTAATTTGAGGATGAAACTTGACTCACCATTTTATAGAATGGGAAGTATTACATAGTAATCCTAGTTGTCTTCTGGAGTCCCTCCTTATTGACGCATTGTAACTTAACAGTATCAAATCCTGGAGGATCCCAGCCAGATTTCTAAATTTCTGGTCCCTGTTGCTTCTTTAAAACTAAGATATTGTGTGTCATTTTAATCAAAAATTCAGTGAAGGTTTTTAGTCATTAAGCACAAATATTTAATTTGTGTGGCTAATTTTAACTGAACAATTTAATATAAAACTACCCACACAGAGCTGTTTCTAACCCATGCCAACCGTTATGTCGAAGTAAAAATTTAGTTCCCTATTTTAAATTTCAAAATAAATTACCTGCTACTATAACCAAATAAATGAGCCTAGCCCAAGTGACCCGGTTGATTGGCGCATCATCGGTGCATTGAAAGGTTGCCGGTGCGATTCCTGGGCAGGGCTCATATCTGGATTTTGGGTTCGATTTCTGTCTGGGTGTGTATAGAAGGCAATTGATTGATGTTTCTCTCTTACATTGGTCTCTCTCTCTCTCTCTCTCTCTCTCTCTCTCTCTCCCTCCCTCCCTCCTTCCTGCGCACCCCATCCCTTCCTCTCTCTAAGCATGTCCTCAGATAAGGATTACTAAATAAATAAAATGTAATTTTAGAAGAAAAATTTTATTTTGATTTTGAAAGATACATAGTATCTCCATCGTGTGTAGTAACGGGAAGGTTAAATCCAGTTACTAGTCTAAAAGCAGATTCTCTTTTCTCAAAAGAGTGGGAGGAGCCTGGCCAGCGTAGCTCAGGGGTTGAGTGTCAACCTATGAGCCAGGAGGTCACGGTTCGCTTCCCGGTCAAGGGCACATGCCCCCGTCAAGGGCACATGCCCCGGTTGCTGGCTCGATCCCCAGTGTGGGGCGTGTAGGAAGCAGCATGGTTCTCTCTCATCACTGATGTTTCTCTCTCTCCCCCTCCCTTCCTCTCTGAAATCACTAAAAAGATATTAAAAAAAAAAAGAATGGAAGGCGAGATAACAACAGGCTCGTTTGAGTGCCAGCCATTAGCAGTTTATATCCCTCCACCAACAGATCTGATCGTGGATAGCTCTCTGGAAAATGACTGGTGGACAGTCTATTCTCAACCCCTCCATCCCCCACTCCGCACACACACACAGATGGCTAATGAATAAAAATAAAACAAGTACTTTCAAATAGACAATGTCATGGTCTATTTATAGTATATAAAGTGCTCATCCTCAGTTTTGTTTTGTAGAAAAGCAGACAAGAATTTATTGACTGCACAAAAATATACTTTGCATAGTGAAACAAGGAATGGCTTAGCATAGAAGAAGCAACAGGAGAGCTAGGCTGGGCTGCCTTGGCTCCCTGGGAAAGCCAGAGAAAAGGGGGCCCTGGGGGCAGGTTCAGGGCATTAGCCCGGAGGAGCTGCTGCCCATTGCTCCCCTGGTAATAAGTCTCATGGGGTCCCTTAGTGGTTATGGGATATGTGCCTGTCGGGGGTCGGGGAGGGAATGACACGGGCATGCTCCCTGGAGGGAGAGCGCCTCATCCTCAGTTTTTGAAATATTTTTTCCCCTGCCTTAATCATGTTGCTATAAAGACCTTACAAATTGTTCCATTCGCCTCCCTAAATTAGGATAGAAAGGCTGGTAACTTGAACATCTCCAAAAATGTAATATCTACCCTTTTCAGTAAAACTTCCAGCTTATCTCTGCTTTATTGTTTTATGTTTAAGTTTACAAATAACCATACTTATTTGGGCTTACTGTGTTTTGAACCAGAATTTAATGAGACTTTTAAATAAATTTACCAAAATGGCTTTAGATCAAGATCTGAGAGATACATGAAGCTTTAGAAATTTTTCAGATACACTGTTTGAAAAATGATAGACCAGACTGTTAAGGCTTATTCTCAGTGTTTTTCTAATTTTTCTTCATAACCAATAGCTTTAGGATTTGATTGGAATTTAACTTTTTAAAGTGTTTTAGCTATTTAAAAACTATTTGAGTTTTTTTAAAAAGCAGCATATATATATATATAAATGTGTTTAATGCCAAATTAATCAAATGTTGTTGAAATACTTCTTTTTTCTTTTAATTAAACAATGCACCATTTTTATTTTTTTTAAAGAGAGAGGGAGAACATTGATGTGAGAGAGAAACATTGATCAGTTGCCTCCTGCACATGCCTGGACCTGGGATCGAACCGGCAACCTGGGTATGGAACCCACCAGCTTTTGGTGTATGAGAGATTCTCCAACCAACTGAGCTCCACCGGACAGGAATTAGTCAATTGGGCCAGGGATGGAACCTGCAATCCAGGTACGTGCCTTTGACCAGAAATTGAACCTGTGACCCTTCAGAGTTCGGTCTAACGCTCTAACTGAGCGGCACCAGCCAAGGTATCATTGGTTGATTCTTGTATGTGCCCTTACTAGGGATCGAAGCCACAACTTTGGTGTATTGGGACAATGCTCTAACCATGGTGCTACCTGGCCAGGGCCAAACTGTTGTTGAAATATTTCTTGCCCTAGCCGGTCCTGGGTTTGATTTCAGTCAAGGGCACATGCTCGGGTTGTGGGCTCGATCCCCAGTGCGGGGTGTGCAGGAGGCAGCCGATCAATGATTATCTCTTATCATTGATGTTTCTAACTCTCCCTTCCTCTCTGAAATCAATAGAAATATTTTTTAAAATATTTCTTGAGTGACCCAGAGATTTAACAAAAGTAAAAGTCTCAGAGGAAGCTACTAAAGTGTATGCTGAATCATAAAAGAGGTTTAGAAAGCCAAATGGAGGAACAAGGGGCAGGAGAATAGATGGAAAAAAAAAAGAAAGAAAGAGTAGGTGGCAGGTTTCTTGTCCAATTTTAGTGGAACTGAAATAGGGAAGAGTCTGTCCGGAAGAATATCTGGCATATGCTGGGGAGGATGAGGAAGAAAAGGGGAACTCTGTGGAGTACTTTATATGACTTTTATCTCATTTAGTCCTCACTATAAGTCAGAGGCAGCTGTCATTCCATTCAGATGAGAAAACGGAAACATTGTAGAATTCTAATAAATTTTGAAGCAAAGAAACAAATTGTTTTAGGGTCTAATAAAAGAAAATACAGCATATTACAAACTCTGAGGAAAATGCTTCCACTTAGATGGAAATCT